AGGTACTGAGCACCTCAGTCGATAGTAGCGTCGAGTGTCAATAGCGTCAGTCTTTTTAAGCGTAAGTATTTTGCTGTTAAGTTTACGTTGAAGTGCTGGAGTCGGGTCGCGTTTAAGTTCTTCGTAAGTTTGTTTGTCGTTAACAGGTGCGTCCATTTTGTCAAAGTAGTCAGTCTTTTCCATAACAACAGTGACACGTCCTTGCAACTTACCGACGAACTGCAAATAAATTGTAACTTGAATTCAGTATCACTACTGTAAACCTGTTTTATTACAAAAATAATCTGTTTTCCATTGTGAATGGTTTTCAGCTGAAAAACCTGTGGTTAAATCGTGTCTTCTAGACTCTTCTGGTTGTTTTTCACAAACCAAACCTAATTTGTGCAGTTATCATGCGCGACAGTTATAAGCTGTTTTCATTACAGCAAAAGGATTAGTTCTTCAGCGAATTACTTTTTTTAAAGTTGAAAGATACATTGCATTACCTCCAGGTAAAATATAAACAATAGCATAAACCAGAACTTCCCTCTCACATGACTTGAGTATTCTTTGGCTTTCATGTAAATGTTGTGTAACCCATTGCTTTCTGCTATCCCAACTGCTTTCACAGCGAACTTCTTCAATGCTTTTCTTCAATTCTAGTTCAATCATTTCACAAATATTTCAGCCCACAAATATGTTTAGTTCAGCCCCAAACAAAGCTCACCAATACGTAAATTTAAACTGAGTAGAACCTTGACCTATCGTGTCTCCCACACACATAAGTTCAGTTCAGATATTTGATCAGTGCTCATACAATGCTCACACAGTGCTTATTTAATACCTCCCAGACTGTATCTCCCTTCCACATAGCGGCGAATCGTGCGCGACATAAGCGCAGCGCGACAAAAGCTCTACGCTGCCTATCCAAAAGAATGCGATGCGTGCCAACATATAAGCTCTGACTACGTCATCGCTTGAAAATAATAAATAAAGATTTCACTTAGGGGTTGTCTGATAGATTACTCGTGTCGGTGATTTTTCAAGTGTTACACTGCAAATGTAACAGACTTAAGCTTTACAACCCCCCACTCTTCCTCNCCCCCCCCCCCCCCATAAAAAGAAATGCCTA